CAATAATTGTTTCATTTTCTGTGTTTAGTTTCTTTTTTACCGTCACAATCCCTACCTTCTATCTTTATATATGATTTATTCATTTAATCTATCGTTCATTTATTGGTATATAATATTTAACTAGCAGCACAGGCTGAAGGGGTCAGTTTACAACTAGAGTAATGCAACATTATAATAATAAATGCCCTTTCCACCGAAGTCCCTGGCTGTAACATGATTATGCATAGGGTTGTTGTAGTTGGGTTTTTGTTTTTCGGAATTCAGTCAAATTTGACTATTTACGCCCTGTCTGGTTTGGGGTTAGATCAGTCGAGGTAGTCGAGTCGTAATTTTCTCACAGTAACAGGCAAACTCAATACAAGGGTCAGCGGCCCATGATTACCAGTATTCAGTAGCTTCTTCGTGTATCCTCCGATGCACTCCAGGGAATACATGCGGGATTATAATTTGATTGCAGTAGGATAACATGTGAATTATTTATATACCGGTATTTGTATTCAAATACACAGGGTTTCGTAAAGCTTAGCCTACAAAGGTACACGTTGATGTCACTCTTAAAACCCCATTTTGATTCTGTTCTTTCTTTCTCTCTCTCTCTCTCTCTCTCTCTCTCTCTCTCTTTTTTCTCCCCCCCCCCCCCCCCCCCCCCTCCATCCCTCGCTCATTCCTCTAGCTCCCTCTCGCTCCCCGGTCCCTTCTCTCTCTCTCTCTCTCTCTCTCTCTCTCTCTCTCTCTATATATATCCCCTCTCACCCCCCCCCTCCATCCCTCTCTTTCTCTCTAGTCTATAGTATATAACTGGTCTACATTATCTCTATCTCTCTCTTTCTCTCTCCTTCTCTCTCTCTCTTTATCTCTCTCTCTCTCTCTCTCTTCTCTCGTTCTCTCTCTCTCTCTCTCTCTCTTCTCGTTCTCTCTCTCTCTCTCTCTCTTGGAGGTGACAGGGTCATAAGAACTGCTAGCTCAGCTCAGCTGGTTAATTCAAGATCAAGGAGAAAGAACAGGATGGTGAATTTGTGATTTCCTGTGTAGCTCTTTCTTCCTGCTATTACGTTGCCTCGTATACACTGTGAATACAGACTTACTGACTCAAACAATAAGGCATGATTCACATTGCAGCACGTATAACGCACGCAATCCGCAGCTGTGTTTTCAGCGAGTTGAATGTCTGCAATGGCATTTGCATGTCATCTGCGGGACTCTGTAAGAATGTAACCATGGATTTATAATATTTGATGGATACTCGTCGCTATTTTCCTACCGTATTTTGCAGTACTGGTGAGTATAATATTATTTGAAAGAATCATACAGCATGTGGACCTTGTTTGTGCATGTATCCTGCATGTGATTGCCTCAAAATAGACTATCTATCAATCTATTCTCTGTATCGAATGTAGTACGGGGTGATTGTTGAAGCGAAACGCGATCTTTAGTTTGAGGAGCGAAGTGATTAACAATGCAACTTCAGAGATGCAGTGTATAATAATTATGTCAAATTCCACTTATTAACGTGTCGATGCGATGGGCAGTGTATCTACTTCTAGTAAACGTATGGCTGACTTAATAAGATTATTCGCATACTTTAGAGAGGGTCGATCTACATATTAGAAATCGTACAGTGGCAAGTCGGCGCCTCAACATATTCTGCATTATTTGTTATATTCAAAACATGAGCGTATGGAATATATCTGACTGAATAATCATTCAGCTTATATTTCATAATGTATGCATATGATTATATGTTATGTTTTGGCATCATTTTTTGTTTTGTTAATGTAGTAGTAGTAGTTGTAGTAGAAGTAGAAGTAGTAGTAGTAGTAGTAGAAGTAGTTGTAGTACTAGTAGTAGTAGTAGTAGTAGTAGTAGTAGTAGTAGCGTAGTAGTAGTAGTAGTAGTAGTAGCGTAGTAGTAGTAGTAGTAGTAGTAGCGTAGTAGTAGTAGTAGTAGTATCCTCATATTATTATCATTATATATTATCAAACTCGGCAGAGTTCATCGTCATACTTTTGTGCAATACTTTTGTACATGTCGCTGATCTCCGAGAAGCGGAGGGACAACAACAGATGTTACAGTAATGAAAAGAACGCTCTGAGACCGCGGAAAGGGATACGAGTATAGTTATGACCCCCTTACACGTTAGCGAGTTCATTGTCACATGCTAGCTGCATGCTGCTGAGCCTAAGGCAATGTAGATTGGCCTTAACGTGTAATAATACTCTACTTGGAAGAACCGTGCATGTTGCTGTGTAGATTGTCTTGGCTTTAATATGACCCCCATGCGCATGCAGTACATGTATTAGTCAACAAACACATAGGAGAACCTTCTATCTAACCGTAGGCCTTTATCAAATAGGTCTAAAATGGATACACGATCACTGATCATCTACATGTATTGAATACTGAAAGAGAAACTTGACAATTCATGAACATTATTTATATGAGCAAGCGGTTACCATGCAGTAGACCTATTTTCCATTGATAACGGAATACATCTAAAGAACGTGATTGTGGAGCATGCGATGCTTTCGCACTTCTTCACTTACACATATAATATTGATAAGCAAAAGAAAAAAAGCAAACAGATTCTATTCCAATAATAAGAATGATACCTTTACATTGTTTCTTGTAGGAGAGTCTCATCATTGGCTTACTTTGGAAGCTGTATAAATACTTGAAAACCAAGTCAGGCGGTGTCTTCAATATTCATTCATGTATAGGATGTGGGATTCTTGAGCCCCTTTGAAATACATTTAATTCCAAACAATAATGACAACCCTGTTCCTAAAGTCCATGAAATATGAGCTAGTATTGTCAAAATTTGTTGCTTCGTGAAATTTATTTATTGTATATTTTAATGAAACAAATCATATTTATTCAGGATAAAACATGATCAGTTTAGCTATTTTTCGTGGTCGTTATGAAGGACATACACATTCAAAAACATTTTAGGTACACTCATACAACATAATACAACGAATCATAGCCCATGTGATGTTTTTATATTATTAAATGATAGTACATTTACGATGAAATAGTTTTGTTCTAGCCTCAAATCCGAAGAAAGTGTTAAACATAATAATATTCACATTATGCAATCTTGAGTGAGACGAATGCGTTCCATATTTTTTTGAACTTGCTTGAACTAGCTTGCAGAATCATGACTTGGTTTACATTGGCAGTAAAATAAAACAATTTACCTAATACCTTTTTTTAAATACTAGTAATCTCTGAGAAAGGCCTGCAACGAAGTTGAAAGAATGAGAAGAAGAAAAATATTATTTAAACTGTCAAATCCCATGCATATTGTGAAATTAAACATGGTAGTGTTTGTTCCGGTAAAGTCTGTCATAACATGAGACACACTCTCTCTCCTTAGCTTCCTTCCGGCTTATTCTCAATATTCACATGGATTGGTCCATGTTATTCAGCACCCATGAATTATACAGTCACCCAATGTACCCGTCTATTACGTAGATGTGACTCTGAATATTACATGTGAAAATGAATTATAATGTAAATGTAGGCATGGACACGTGATGAAGACGACCATTATGGTTAGGCGCAGTCATAATCGCAATTTCATGTACGGGGGGGGGGGGGGGGGGGGGGGGGGAGGAGCTCCAATTGACCCGGGGCACATTTAAAGGTGTGCCTTGTATATATACAAAGAGTATCTTTGAGATGGTTTTGGTCTTTGGAACTGTGGCGTCTAGGGTTTATCTTTTTAAGAGGGGAGGTGAATGATTAGAGATAAATAGTTGACCATGTATTATGGTGAAAAGAAACTGCATTGTATTCATGCAGATAACGGTTTGGGACTTTTTTTGTAGAATATCAGAGGGCATGCAATTCGGGGGCACATTGACCCGTTTAGGGCACTTTATGTGAAGAATTAACCAGGGCACATGAAACTTGCAAAAGCATGTGTTAAAAGGCTGTCATTGGGAAACGTACAATCTGTACATTCTGCAAGATGATCATTATCTCATCAAACCAAGTCAGTTTGTGATTATCATAATTATTATTGTCCGCCGTCCGCAGGAAACATAAAAACACCGTCTACTCATCATGTATAAGTATGAACAGGAATATATGATTATTTATGACCCTCTTCTTGTAAGTGTTGTTATTGTTGAAGGCTTACAGCCCCCACCCCATTCCCATCCCGATAAGAACTCAAGGAAGTATTCCAGGTAGATTGTAGAACAAACATGATTGCTTGCCCTACCTAAGAACACGTAATAAATGCAATTTTCATTCTAACTATATTCAAATACAATTATAAATATCGACGGACGTAAGTGTGATTTGCTTCCATTACGAAAACGGCCACTGCGAGCGGACTAGGTGCCATGATAATAATGATGATTGCATTCAACCCAAATATAGCTTGGATCCCACCGAATATTTGATACATTATATCTGCATGTGAATTATCTGTGTTTATTTAATCGTACCATGAAAACCTACATGTATACGACCCTAACGGACAAAGTACTTTGGACTTTGCAGACTATAACAAATATATCACGGACTGTGGACATATCCTATTTACATGTATACTGTATAATGAGAGACAGAGAGAGAGAGAGAGAGACAGAGACAGGGGGAGAGAGAAGGGGAAAACAAGAGGGAAAAGAAGATGAAAACATGGCAATTACCATTGTCTATTACAGTATTACTTTTGGTGAGTGTTTCTTTTGAATACCCCTTGGTATTATGAGGGGGCACGAAAGGCTCCCACCTCCTTGAGCTTAAAAATTAAAGCAAGAGGTCATGAAAATTATTAGATTCCTGATCTTTTGTGCTAATTTCCCCTCCTTTCTCCCCCCCCCCCCCTCTCTCTCTCTCTCTCTCTCTCTTTGACGATTATGCCGACTTAAATATCTGAGGAATTGCGGGTGGTTTTCTATAGCTGCTGACTGTCATGAACTCATGATTTACCATTGTATCTAGTCTTACCCGGATGATGGAATTAAAACCGTATAGCTCTATGACGTCATACCCTCTTCTATTAGTATGCAGCTCAGAAATAAACTGAGACTTGAGTGAATCCTAACCCGTTGTACATTATTTTGTCAATCAGTAATGCAGAAATTATCATCCAGATAGTTTAACACGTATAGTATTGAACTATTGTACATGGAACCGACCGCAAGAAATCATATACCAAGGGTATTTTCACTACAAAAAATTATATCCCAAAGAAATCCTGTTCGGGTCATGTAAATTTGTTATTGTAAATGTAATATTCACCGTTTAACGGGTGATGAAGGCGAAATGCTACCGAATTGCCTTACGTTGACCTTTTAAAGGTAAAGACCAGTATTGGAAACGCCCCAATTTAAAAAAAAATGAAATGGAAGCTCTCATTTCCAATCATGTGAAAGAATATGTTTTGACTGATACATGATGATAAAAAATTTACCGGGAAACCGCCTACTAATTCATATATTTGGTAAATTTGTTTCTCTCATGGTCTGTGAGAGATATAGGGTAGTCCCATATACATCTTTCTGTGTATAGTGCTTGTAACTTTACGAAGAATGGGCCAAATTTCTTATCATTTTAATGATTCCAGAACCTTGCAGATGCTAGATGCTAGATGATCAACCTTTTCTGATCGATTCCACAACGTTTCTTTCACAATGCAATCGCATGGCCATAACTGGTCTTTACCTTTAAAGCCCCTGCAACTTGTGTGAAAATCATTACTCCATTTGTCTCGGTAGAGACATCACCCCCGATCTGAGGTTATTTCCTTAAACAAATTCAGTTGTTCCAGTTTTCATTCCGGAAGATGTCTCGCTGGGCTTTTTATTTGCAGTCTAAACATCATATTGGTAAGAAATCACGTTAGTATAATATTGAGTTTGGGGCTTCGTGATTTTACGTATAATTATAATGTAAAAGCTGTGTGTAATTTTGCTTTTTCGAGGCTGGCTGGTTGAGTTTTTGTCTCGCCTGCGTAGCAAAAAGCGAGACATAGGCGCCGCTTTTCCGGTGACGGCGGCGGCGACGGCGACGGCGACGGCGACGGCGTCAACATCAAAAACTTAACCTAAGGTTAAGTTTTTGAATTTTTGGTATAATTTTTAAAGTATAAGTTCTTAGTCAATGAAACTTTGACTATAGGGTAATCAAGTATCCCCAATCATGTGAGTAGAATTTCAGATCACAAAGTCAAGGTCAAAGGTCATTTCAGGTCAACAGACTTGGACTATGTTGTAGCATCATCATCGAAAACTTAACCGAAGGTTAAGTTTTTGAATTTTTGATATAATTTTGAAAGTATAAGTTCTTAGTCAATGAAACTTGGACTATAGGGTTATCAAGTCTCCCCAATCATGTGAGTAGAATTTCAGGTCACTAAGTTAAGGTCAAAGGCCATTTAAGGTCAACAAACTTAGATTTTGTTGTGGCATCAACATTAAGATTTTCAAAATGCTTCTTCTTCGTTATTTTTCAACCGATTTTGATTCTGATTGTTTCATATGATAGGGCTAGGAGGGGATTTAAAATTTCTACACAGAATCGTGAAATTTATTATCTATGCTAATTTATGCAAATTTATTCGAAATCACAAAAAAGGCTTCTTCTCCTTCATTTCTCGATCGATTTTGATTTGGTTTGCTTTATATCGTAGAGCTAACTTTGGTACACTAAACTTCCACACAGAATTTTGAAATTGTTATCCATTAATTAATTATGGTAATTTATGCAAATTTATTCCAAAAATAACAAAAATTGCTTCTTTTCCCTCATTTCTTGACCGATTTTGCCTTATCTGGTAGAGCTTAATTTGGAACAATAAACTTCTACATAGAATTGTGAGATTTTGCTCCATTGATTATTTATGGTACTTTATGCAAATGAAATGAAATTATGTCCCTTTCAGGGCATCAAATTTCTATTTTTTGACCAGTTCAAAAGTGTACCACATAAAATTTACGATATTTGTTGTTGTGAGATGCGGATGAGCGCTACGTCATTGACGTTCTGGTTTATCATATTGAATTGCGTTATGCAGGCGAGACCGCCGAGAGCGTTTCCCTTGTTTGTTTTGATATCCGGAGTGTCCGGAAAACGCCGGATCATTTTCATCCGGAGTGTCCGAAAGACTCCGGATCATATTCGTCCAGCGGGAGTAAAGAATGAAGTATTTATATTCATGAACATGGGTATAACTTGATGATAATGAAATAAATACCTCATATTAGAATGAAAAAAAAAGTTATCATTATTTGCTATTAACGATTACTATGAACCCTACATGAAAGCTTATAAATCGGTCAAGGGCTGACCATATAGAGTACCGAAGTGTAATGTCATGCCATTTTGTCGAGGTTTCTGGTTCCAAACAATATTGTGCTCAACAATGGCGTGATGGTCGCACCAGTAACCTGGGCGACGAGCGAATTTATCGTTAGCTCCTCGGTACTCTAAAGGCCTATACACATTTTTGTTTAATGTGTTGGGAGCCAGCCACCAAAATTTGATGGCAAAATTTCAACTCTATTGTATGAAATAATGAAGTGGAAGAGGGCATCATTTAACACTAACTAATTTTCAAAATAATTGTGTTTGAAGAAAAATATTGATGAAAGAGTACACAATTTGGGTTCCGTTGTATGTAAAATACTCGAATTGTGCATTCTTTTATTGAGTAATATTTGTCTTTAAACACATTTGTTTTGAAGACCCTTGCACATGTGAGTGTCAAAGGACATCCTCTTTTACGTCATAACTTTGAAGTGAAATTTTGAGACAAGATATTTGGGGAAATTTGGGGCTCCCAACACTTTAGGGGGGCTTTGATATTGTACTTTTGTAGGCAAGCCATGTACATTAATAGATACATATGATAACAATGTACATATATATCATACACTCGTACTTCATACTACAGTTCATATCATTTTGAAATGAAGTTCTTGTTTAAATAGGTGAATTAATATTACTACAATAATGTCGTTGCCGCTCATGTGGTAAATTTTGGATTTGTTCGTCTCATCAACCGTGGCTTGGATGTAATAGTTAGAGACTGGTTGCTAGTATGTCGATCCTTGTAACCATGTCAGTCGTGCATCAGGGATCTGTTATTGAGTGCATGTCATTGTTCTGCCAGAGATGTGAACTGTCTACATGTACTAGTACCTGTACTGTAGTTCTACTAAAGAGTGCTGGTACAGTACACGCCGAAAATCTCCGCAACACGATTACACGATTTATTTTTAGGATTACACGGTTTACACGATTCACCTGAATCGTGTAACTGTGTAATCGTGTAAATTTACACGATTGAAGAATGTCGCTCTGAATCGTGTAATCGTGTAAATAGTAAAGTGCATTGGTCGGATGATTCGACCAGATGTAACAATCGTGTAACTGTGTAATCGTGTAAATTTACACGATTGAAGAATGTCGCTCTGAATCGTGTAATCGTGTAAATAGTTATTAGGGTTATAAGGGCATTGGTAGAACGATGCGACAAGCTGCAACAATCGTTAAATCTTATCCTGCTTACACCAATTGCTTTATACACAACTTACCTTCAGTGTACATCAGTTAATTACTGTACGTTATATTCGTGTATAAACCTCAGCACTTTCCACTAACATGTATCGTATACTAATCCGTGAGACAAGGTAGGAAAACGTCAGAAACAGGAAGACATGATAGATGAAATAGTAAAGGAAAAAAGATAGCTACGAGGAGAAGGGAACATATAAAGGGAAAATGAGGGTTGAAAGGCACGATAAAGATAAACAGAAAAAAAGAGAGAAAAAAGGGAAAACTAAAAAGTTGACCGGAAGAAAAGAAAGAGTGAAATAGAGTGATAAACAAAAAGAAGGGCGAAACCTAGTAAAATTAACAGAAATGAGAAGGCTATGAAACGGAGAGGAAAAGAGACAAATTAATAAGGTAAGAGGGGAACATAATGAGGGAAAGAGAGGCGAGAAAGATATGGGGAATGGAAAGATATTGAAAGAAAGAGAGAGAGTGAGAGAGAGAGAGAGATAAAAAAAAAAAAAGCTTTAGTTGGAAGAAAAGGGGCACCGATCAGATTTTAATAGGGGCATTTATCGGAGTTGATGGGGGCATTTATCAAAAGTGAAGAGGGGCACTTCTCGTACTTAAAGAGGGATACTTACTAGAGATTAAAAGGACACTAATGAGAATGGAAAATGGACACTTATTGTAAAGGAAAATAGGAACTCGTCGAAGGAAAAGGGGTGTGTGTCAAAAGAAAAGGAGCACTTATCAGAGTTGAAAAGGGGAAGGGGCACTTTTACAAATTAATAGGGACACTTGTCAAAGTAAAATAGGTACTTTTCCTACATACAAAGGGGCACTTTGGGGGAACTTGAAAAAGTGGGGGGACACTGTGACGCTAGCTAAACGTAACTCAAAGACAGTTGGCCATTCACTTATTCTATTCATTCTCGGCTTGCAACTGTTCCCTACACTCTGTAGCCAGTGGCGTACATGTAATACCTATTGTTCAGGGGGATCCTATCACTATGAACATAACAGACAAAGAAAGCGGACAAAATATACAGTTCCTCAGGTAGACAAAGGAACATCCCTTCACTGCTATTATGTAAAAAGGTGGATATGCATGTGACACCTGTTCTACACATTTTTACATAATAGCAGTGAAGGGATGTTCCTTTGTCTACCTGATGAACTGTATATGTTGTCCGCTTTCTTTGTCAGTCATGTTCATAGTGTATGTTCAAGGGGAACCCCCTGAACAATAGGTATTATGTAAGGATCTCTGCCTGTAGCTAGGGCAACGGCCTTTGTCCCCGGCGAGGGTCAATGGCAGGCCACATTCAGAGTAAGCTTCTTTTGTATGTGACAGGAAGTGTGCACTTAAGCCTTGACCGTAGCTCTTTATACATATCGCTGAATAATGCAATGTTGTAAAAGGTAATTTACGAAAATGAGGAACGCTAAAAAAGCAATATGTGATCAAAGTCTAAGGCCCGAATTCACATAGGAGGTTTGTCGACAAACCTTGGTTTTCGTGCGTCATATGACGCGTTTTTACAAACCAGGTTTGTAAAATGGATAATGATTGAATAAAAAAAAGTATAACGATATTCATAGTAACGAATGAGCTGGTGAACCGTAATTCTAATTGGTACAGCCTTGTAATGTAAGAGTATCACAACATACTTAATTATGTTAGCCCTCCTTTACATTTTGTAATCATTTTTACTTATTTACAACTTAGGAATAACAAAATTCCCCCTTCCTTCGTCGTTCATCGCTTTTTTCTTTTTTCTCACCGAGGATTAAATCCGAGAGTGCTTTTCGGGAAGTGGACTGATTTGTTTAACTTTCAAACATTCTATAATAAAACTAGAGACAAGACACTGCAATTAAAAATATATACAAGAGAAAGAAAGCGTAATCTTCGCTATCCCCTCGTATCGTCCACGTTGTCCTCGTTCAACCAAGAAGTAACTTCTTGCTTTTACTGAACTAGACGTCCTTAACCTGCTCACCATCACCACTGAAAATAAATTGTAACACAATTCCAGCGAGCAATCGAATCGTGTAAATTTTAAATCGTGTAATCGTGTTGCGGAGATTTTCGGCGGGCAGATTACACGATTACACGATTCGACCTGAATTGAGGAATCGTGTAATTTTACACGATTACACGTTTACACGATTCAAATTTCGCTTCATTGGCAAAAAACGAATCGTGTAAAAATAAATGGTTACACGATTCCCGCGAGCAGTCGAATCGTGTAAATTTTGAATCGTGTAAATCGTGTTGCGGAGATTTTCGGCGTGTACTGTATCTCCTAACATCTCATAACACAGA